AAACACATCTAAGATCCAAAGATAGACATTACTTCAGGGTAAAGGGTTAGGAAAAGATTTTCCAATCAAATGGAACCAAGAAGCAAGCAGGCTATCCTAATATCTAACAAGTTAGACTTCAAAATTAATCAGAAGAAATGAAGACAGTCATTTCGTATTCATCGCAAGAGAAACCCATCATCACAAAGTCTCAGTTCTGAACATCTATGCCCCTACATTCATAAATGAAATGCTACTAAATCTAAAATCTAAATATAAAACCTCACACACTTATAGTGAGAGACTTCAACACACTCTCAACACTAGACAGGACCACTAATCAGAAACTCAACAAAGAAACAAAAGATCTAACAGAAGTTATGTCTCAACTGGGGATAACTGACCTCTCCAGAACATTCCATCCAAACACAAAAGAATACACCTTCTTCTCTGCTCCACATGGAACCTTCTCTAAAATCGACCACATACTAACCTCAACAGATACAAGAAAATAGGAATACTCCCCTGTATCTTATCAGACCACCATGCGTTAAAATTGGAATTCAACAACAACACAAATAGCAGAAAACCTGCAAACTCATGGAAACTGAAAAATGTGTAATTGCACCACTCCAGGGTCAAAGAAGAAATAAAGAAAGAAATTAAAGACTTTCTAAGATTCAACGAGAATGAGGATACAACATACCCGAACATATAGGACACCTTGAAAGCAGTGTTACAAGGGAAGTTCATTGCACTAAGTGCCCATATGAAGAAAATAGAGGATAGTCAGATAAGAGAATTAACAGTGCAACTGAAAGCCTTAGAACAGAGAGAAGCGAATACACCCCGCAGGAGTAGATGCCAGGAAGTAATCAACTTGAGGGCTGAAATCAACAAAATGGAAACCATGAAAATAATACAAAAAAATCAATGAAACTAAGAGTTGGTTTTTTGAGAAAATCAACAAGATAGACAGACCTTTATCCAAATTAACAAAAAAGCACAGAGAGAACATGCAAATTAACAAAATCAGAAATGAAAAGGGGAACATAACAACAGACACAGAAGAAATCCAGACAATTTTCAGGTCATACTTTGAAAATCTGTATTCCACAAAAATTGAAAATTCAAAGGAAATGGACAAATTTCTGGATAACTATCACATATCAAAATTAAATCAAGAACAGACAAGCAACTTACATAGGCCTATAACCCACAATGAAATAGAAGCAGTCATCGAAAGCCTTCCAACCAAAAAAAGTCCAGGGCCAGATGGACTCAGAGCAGAATTCTATCAGACATTCAAGGAAGAACTAATATCACTACTCCTCAAACTATTCCACAAGATAGAAACAGAAGGTTCACTGCCAAACTCTTTTTATGAGGCCACAATAACTTTGGTACCCAAGCCTCACAAAGACACAACTAAGAAAGAAAACTACAGACCAATATCCCTGATGAACATCGATGCAAAAATACTCAATGAAATACTGGCAAACTGAATTCAAGAACACATCAGAGAAATCATCCACCATGACCAAGTAGGCTTCTTCCCTGGGTTGCAGGGATGGTTTAACATACAAAAATCTATCGACGTGGTCCACCATATAAACAAATGGAAAAAGAAAAACCATATGATTATCTCCCTAGATGCGGAAAAAGCCTTCGACAAAATTCAACACCTTTTCATGATAAAGGTCTTGGAGAGGTCATGGATAACAGGAACATACCTAAACATAATAAGAGCAATATACAGCAAACCAACTGCCAACATCAAACTGAATGGAGAGAAACTTAAGCCAATTCCTCTAAAACCAGGAACAAGACAAGGCTGCTCTCTCTCTCCATATCTCTTCAATATCATACTAGAAGTTCTAGCTAATGCTATAAGAAAACAAAAGGAGATCAAGGGATCCAAATTGGAAAGGAAGAAGTCAAACTGTCTCTATTTGCAGATGATATGATAGTTTACATAAGTGACCCAATAAACTCTACCAGGGAAGTCCTACAGCTGATAAACACCTTCAGCAAACTAGCAGGATACAAGATAAACTCAAAAAAAAATCAGTAGCCCTACTTTTTTCAGATGAAAAAGAGACAGAGAAAGAAATCAGAGAAACATCACCCCTTACATTAGCCACAAGCAACATAACGTATATTGGTGTAATGCTTACCAAATAAGTAAAAGACCTATATAATAAGAACTTTGTGGCTCTAAAGAAAGAAATTAAAGAAGATACCAAAAATGGAAAGATCTCCAAAGCTCTGGGATAGGTAGGATAAACATAGTAAAAATGGCAATCTTGCCAAAAGCAATCTACAGATTCAATGCAATCCCCATTAAAATCCCACCACAATTCTTTACCGAACTTGAAAGGATATTAATCAACATTATATGGAAAAACAAAAAAAACCCAGGATAGCCAAAACAACCCTATACATAAAAATAGACAGGTAGACCAATGGAATCAAATTGAAAATCCTGATATCAACACACACACCTATGAACAACTGATTTTCGACAATATAGCTAAAATTATACAATGGGGCGAAGACAGCATCTTCAACAAATGGTGCTGGCACAATTGGATGATGGTGTATCAAAGACTGCAGATAGACCCATGTCTGTCACCATGCACAAAACACAAGTCCAAATGGATCAAAGACCTCAACATCAATCCAGCCACATTGAACATCTTAGAAGAGAAAGATGGAGGTACCCTTAACAAATTGGTATAGGAGACCGCTTCCTGAACATAACTCCAGGGGCACAGACACTGAGAGAAACAATTAATAAATGGGACCTCTTCAAACTTAGAAGCTTCTGTAAGGCAAAGGACACAGTGGACAAGACCAAACGGCAGCCCACAGACTGGGAAATGATTTTCACCAATCCTATATCAGACAAAGGTCTCTAAATATACAAAGTACTCAAGAAACTAGTCAACACAACACCAAATAACCCTATTACAAAATGGGGTCCAGAACTGAAGAAAGTATTCTCAATAGAGGAAATCAAAAATGCTGAAAGACACTTAAGTAAATGCTCCACATCATTAGCTATCAGGGAAATGCAAATCAAAACAACTTTGAGATACCATCTTACCCCTGCCAGAATGGCTAAAATTAGAAACACAAAGATGACTTATGTTGGAGAGGATGTGGAGAAAGTGGAACACTTCTCCACTGCTGGTGGGAGTGCAAACTCATACAGCCATTTTGGAGATCAGTATGGCGGTTCCTCAGGAAAATGGGAATTAGTTTACCACAGGACCTGGCAATCCCCCTCTTAGGCATATACCCAAAGGATTCACATCCATGCAACAAAGACATCTGTTCAACCATGTTCATAGTAGCACTATTTGTAATAGCTAGAACCTGGAAGCAACCTAGATGCCCCTCATTTGAAGAATGGATAATGAAGATGTGGCACAGCTACACAATGGAATACTACTCTGCAAAAAATATTAATGGTATCTTGAAATTCGCAGGCAAGTGGATGGCACTTGAAGAAACCATCCTGAATGAGGTAACCCAGTCACAAAAAGAGGAACACAGTATGTACTCACTCATATATGGATTTTAGACCTAGATCAAAGGATCACCAGCCTATAATTCACACCACCAGAGGAACTAGGATACAAGGTGTATTCTAAGTGATTCATATAAAGTGTCTCACAGAACTGGGAAGGGACAAGCCCTCCAGAGCTCAGGGGAAGTGTGGGGGGCAGCAAATGGAGAGAGAAGTAGGATAAAATGAGGGGGAGGAAATGAAAACATGTGGGACAGGAAGATTGAGTTTGGTTAGGAATAGAAGACATGAAAGAGAGAGAGAGAGAGACAGAGACAGAGACAGAGAGAGAGAACATAAAAGAGGGAGCCAATATTGGTTTGAAGATAAAATTGAACACAAAGAAAGGTCTAGAGAACTACAAGACTGCAGCCAACTAACAATGTGAGCTTCCATGGAAAGGCTATCATAAATGTTCTTTCCGGAGAGTGAGATCAACAAATAACTTATCCATGGGCCCTCAACTAATGCCTGCTGGAAACAGGATCAAACACCCATACATAAACACTGAGTCGAACTAGAACCCAGATGCAGATGGAGAGGACAAGACCATGAGGCTGAAACACATAGAGACAGCTTACCTGAACAAGGAGGAGCTAAAGGCCACTAGACTGATAGCTGGGAAACAGGCATGGGACTGACTCAGGCCCCCTTGAATATGGGTCTCAGCCAGAAGGACTGAGTAATCTAAGGGAACCTCAAACAGTGGAGCCAGGATGTATCCCTGGTACACAAAAGGACTTTGCGAACACATCCCCCATGGAGGGATAACTGCCTTAATCTAGAGACAGGAGAGAAGCCCTAGTCCCTACTTCACATGACCTGTCAGATTTACATGACCCCAACTGGATGGCATTCTCCTATATATGGAATTGGGGTGGGGGATGGGAGGGGAGGGTGGTTAGAGTACATGTGAGAGGCCAGAGAGGGTAAAAGGGAGGGAAGGAGGGAGGGGAGGAGAGAGGGAGGGAAGGAGGGAGGAAGGAAGGGAGGGAGAGGGAACTGGGATCGACATGTAAAATAATAAATTAAATTAAAAAAAAATGCTCTGACTCCAAAATTTAAGTTGAAGGACAAGTTATTGGGGAAAAGGATTTCTATTTTTGTTTCCACAGAAAATGAAAAGCTGTGGATTCCTTTCAAACTAATGTGGTTTAATCAAGCTAGACTGCCTGAAACAGAGTACCAGGTGATTCTACATTCAAAACAGCTGGACCAAGCAGTTTACAGACTACAGCCAGGATTTCTGTATCTTCTTAGAATCCCCCATGACAGCACCCCTTACCAGCAGGAAGTAGTTTGGAAAGAACGACGCCCTAATTCCCAAATATTGTCTATAAATGTTTGTTTTCATTTAAATGGACTTGGTTATATAAAATATACATACATATATATATATATATGATAAACATATTTGATGTATAAAAATAAAATAAAATAAACTTACCATATCTGTATCTGATACTGGGCCAAAACTTGTCACGTAGATGTTAGTGAAGACTTCAGTAATACTGTCTAATATGAAAAGAAAAAATTGGACATAAATTTAAATAGTGAAATCTTCAAGAGGGAAAAGGATCTGAGTACTTGGTATGATAAGGAAGTGAGTGATCACGACAGTGTCATTTTCCAAGCAGTCATCACAAATAAAATAATTTATGCCTCGAATTACTTTCATTGTTCTCTATAGAAGGCATGTTTGGTTACAATTTCTATTTAAACGTTATATTTTTCATTATGAATAACTTCTTAGAATCCTTCTAAAGTAAATCAGTTGAACAAATTTATCATTGACACCAACAATAGAGCTTGCCTATTATTTAATACTCTAAATTTGATGATTAATCTAATATTCCATATGTCATTTAAGGGTGGCTAAGGTTCGTAGTTTACACACAAGAATAATTATTCAGCTTAAAAGTAAATATATCATTCCACAAAATTAAGAAAACACATTGTTCATCATTAGAAATCAATGTGACTCATATATATATATATATATATATATATAACTCTAATACTTAATAGCATACAAAATAAAAGCAAAAGCAAATAACTTAATTTTCTATATTGTTTTGTTTCCAGTAAACTTGGTTAATAAGTTCTTTATACCAGCTAAAATTTAAGGTTCAAGTGAGTTGGATCCTAAAATTATGTACCCTATTTATTGTAACACTATTAACAGAATTCACCAATTAAATAGATGATTTAGATATTAAAATTTAAGTTAAAACATTAAAAGACATCATTTCCATTGCCATGGGTTAAATATTATAATATTTGTAATTTCACACGAACACTAGGCATTTCCCATCTAATAAGGGGGATTGATTTATGAAGGGATCACATTCATAGTACTTTGAAACAAGAAGATACTCTTTTTAAATAGAAGAATTTTGATACATATAATATATATATATATATATATATATATATGCACAATAAACTGAAATATTATCATACCTAGTATGGCAGACAGGTCCTGGCTTTAAAACCCAACTGCTCTGATTTCTGAATCTTCACACTAACCCATGTGCTGTACTACACTGGATAATAGAATTGAGAGTAAATGTATGTCCACTTACTCAGTGAAAGCACACCAATTAACATATTTATTCTACTTTATTCTGTATGCTATTTCATTTCTTAAACTATATTTATTAACTCTATTATGTAGATACCTCAGCGCATAAATCAATACAATTGCTCCACTGTGACACCTGTCTCAAACACATATTTAGGGTCAAGTTCCCGGGCATGGAACCTGTGCAGAACTACAAGATCCCATGATTAGAAAAGTCCTATTCTTGATTTAGATTTTGTTCCTGCTCTCCAAAATCCTGGTATTAATTTTTTAGCAAAGGTAATGAATTTCCATTTTGAACTGAACTTGATAGTAACTTGAACTGACTATGATAGTAGCATACTATCATAATACTGTCCTATATATGTGTTAGTATAAAAATTATAAAATAAAACCCAATAATTTATTTTCCTCTTATACTGAATCAATCATGCTATGATATTTATTCAATACACAAATGAAATAAACTTCAAATAATATAAACATCCAATTAAAACATTCCAGGGAAGAGTAATTACAGTATTAAGGAGTTTTTGCATTAACTAGCGAAAATTATTCCCTTGAGTATGACTAGCAAAGTTGGGAAAGAGAGATGACAAAAATGTATAATGCTAAAGATGTGAACAATGTTCTCTTTTATGTTAATGACAATTGATGTGTAAAGGGCACTGTCAGCATATGGTAGCTGACAACTGGGAGCACAAAGTGAAAGATACGATGAGTCTCAGAGGTCTAAGTGTATAAGAGATGCCACAAAGACAAAATACAGATGTGCAAAGTTACTTGAAAGAAAACAAATGGCTGTAGGTTTTATGACATCATAGATCTTGCTGAATAATATGTGCACTAGAAGGGATTTAACTATAGACATAGAAAGAAGGGGAAATTCACCGAGGCAGTCATTGCTGTTGTCAGTTATCTCTATGCCATCTGAACCTAGGAAATGTGGCTTTGGAACAGAGGTTTGAGGATTTTGGTGGGGATGGATGTATAGAAGAATAATGCAGCAATGTAAATTAATGACATATTTTAGTTACAATGGCAAACATTTAATAACATCTAACAACTTTCCTAGGTTATATATGCAAATTGAAATGCTGGCTTATGATATCACAAAAGAGGAATAGCATAAAAGAGAAATGAGACTATACAGATAAAATTATGTATGAGTCATATGACATGGATTTGGCAAAAGGAGTTTGTAAGGTATTCCATGTTTGTGTCTATAGATTAGAACATGTTAAAATTGTATTGTTCATGTATGTTACAGCATTTTGATTCATTAGATTTATGGATATCACAAAGTAATCAAAGGTACTTGCTGGCTAGTGGAAACTTTGATCTTTGCATCTTAGGAACCATGAGTCATGTTGTCATGGTGTTCTCAGTGAACACCCTAAGTGATTTCCTAAGTCAGTCTTCACACTGGCTACAATCCTTTTTCTCCCAAGCTTCACCAATTGCTTCTCTACATTGATGTCTCTAAGTGTTTCTGCTCTCCAGCCATGCTTGATTGGTGAAGTTTACAGTCCCAGTCATGAATTCTCTCCTAATGGGAATACATTGAGTCCAATTAAGCTGCTGTTGGTTACAACCAAGATAAAAACACCACTAAGTTAGTATTGGATCAAAATTGCTAGGATTCGCTGGTGAGTTTGAAGGCTCTACAAGTGAGCAGAATTATGATTTTTTTTCTCCCTTGGCAGCTTGTGTAGCACCTTTGGATACTATGAGAGCTAGTCCTTAGAAAGGAGTCTTCCAACTCACTTCTGGCTAGATTACTCCAAGTTCTGCATCAAACTGTGGGCTATCTTCAAAAAAGGAGTCTTCACTACATGTTCAGGGAAGCAACCCAATGCAACGGCAATCCTCTATATTTGGAGTCTCTTTAATTACCCTGATGAACAACTCAAAAGCAGGCAGGGTTTACATACACACACACACACACACACACACACACACACACACACTTTAAGTGCTTTTAAGAAAAATAAAGGGTCACTTTTTTCAGATACACTTATGTGTTAATTATCTATCATTTTTCCTTCTTCCTCTGTACTTTTTTCTTTCTTCTCCCAGTAATACCCCATTTTCTGTTTCTTTTTCATAGCACCTATGTTTAGTACAGCCTTTTCTCCCTTCCTAGTATGCTCCCTTTCTTTTTCAGAGTTCCTACAAGCCACTTCAAGTTTTATACTTAAATCTGAAGATTTTGAGATAAGATCCATAAAAAAAAATGTGGGAACATATGGCAATTGCTGTACGAACCAGAGAACCAGGATGCCTGTGGTCCTCTAAACATGACTTAGAAAGCTGCACCCATGAAGTTTCAACAATATGGGATCTAAATAAGACAGGCAATAAATAGCTATTGAGTGATAGGTGAAAAATCAGTGGTCTCCAGGGGCCAGCCCCATGTTTGATTAGAAAATCATAAGTGGAATTTTTAGAGAACTGTTTGTTTTCTAATAAGACAGAACCAAAGAAGGTCTGTATTTTGGGTGCATGGGAAGATGGAAAGGATTTGGCAGATATGAGAGGAGGAAAAACCACAATCAGAATATATTATATGAAAATAATATATTTTCAAATTAAAATTTTAAGAAAATAAATAAAGATTGATATCTGAGAGTAAAATGTAAGCAAAGCAAAATGTCCATGAAGATTGAACATCATGAAGATCAGCATATGCAGATGAGGAAAACATCACACAGGAATAAAAGTCAGAAGTGTGTGTCAAAGAATGAACCAATCCACTATAATTAGGAAAACAAGGTCACTATATTTATGGCAGCATGAACATGCCAGGAGAAACTTGAATCATAAAGTAATATCTAATTAGAAATGCTATGTTCCCTGTTTAATTGTGGCTAAGCTGGGCAGAGGAGAATGTATTCATTCTATTATCTAATACTGTAGAAAATGTTTAGAATAAAGAGAGGTATGAGACAGACAAGAAAAGTCAAAACAAGCAGAAAGCCTATTGGTCTCATTTTTTGTTTGTTTTAAGTAATGTTAGTGAAATCGACTTTTTGATCTGACAAGTAGAGCTGAGACTGAAAATGAATGATTTCTGTAGGGTTGTACCAATGTAAGACAGTGTGATGGAAAGTAAATCGATGGTGAGACATGAGGAGAGAGAGTAGAGAACACTCCTTTTAAAAGCTTGTCAAAATGTATTTCTAGTGAACTCTATTAGTCAGCTGATGTTGTGTAATGCAGTATACAATACCCTTCAAATAGGACAAAACAATTCTAATGCTTGGCACAGTAATAACAAGTTTTCCATAAAAGAAGAATAATTTTGGAGATTATTCTTTGTAATGTCTTCTTTCCCATACTTTTCCAGAACATAAATTCTAAAATTTATTTTCTCATAATAAATATATTTAAGATTAGAAATAATAGAAACTATGCAATAGGATGAAATACAATAGGTCTAAGAGATTTCACATGCAACAAATGAACTTACTGTAGTCAACTATTTAAATCTAATCAATCAATTAGCTCAGTTATGGTAAAAACTCTTACTCCTTTACTTCCCTGTTATGGAATCCCAGGAACCTGCTACAGCCCTGGCTATATGTAGTTGAACTGGAAAAATGTTTAAGTACCATTTTCTATGTATTACATTATTCACATTTCTAATTGTTATGATATTAACCAAAATTCAATAAATACTGAATACTGGTGAACATGGAATAATCATCTTCAGAATATTTTCAATTTCATTTCATGTTAATGGAAACACATTCATAATAGGCACTTCAGAAATTTGTCAACAACTGATGGACACAAATCAATTTTCTACAACTGTAGACTGACTCTATATTATCTATGAATGTGGATTTTGTAGAAAGTGTTACTTTTAGTCACTATAGATTTTTTTCTTGGATGAATTATGAGGCTATTACCAATCTCTCTGCATCCC